GGACCTCTGACAATACCGGCTCAGCGTGCAGAACCACTACACCATGAAGGGATGCTAGGAAGGCACGAGAAATACCTTACATACTCCCCTTTTGAAAGGGCGACTGAGGTTTTTAGGGGACCCAATCGCCAAATCCTGGGCGCAGAGAATCCTCATGAAACACCCTTTTAGTTCGGGCGCCACTTTAGAGACATTAGGTATTTTTTTCTGGAAGCAGGCAAGATGAAAAATTAACAACGCCTTTGCTGGGAATCGAACCACGGACCTCTGACAATACCGGCTCAGCATGCAGAACCACTATACCACGAAGGGATGCTAGGAAGGCGGGAGAAATACCTTATAACCTTGTTCTTTATTTTGTTGCATTTATTTATGCCTATATACATACATATAAAAAAAAACATAATAATAGGCTAAAAATTAAAAGCAAAATTTTTAAACCCGTCCTGCACTATAGATATGTGTGTATTGGACGGCAGAATTTAGGGAAGTTGAAATTTTTGGAATTTGGGAAAGCACCGAGTGTCAAAATTAAGGGATGAGAAGTATTTATGATTTAGGGAAAGCACTGGGATCCAAAGTTTAGGCATGGTTAAAATTTAGAACTTACAAAAGCGCTTTGCAGCAGAATTTAGGACCTGTAGAGGCGATACCAGGCGGTTTCAAGCGCCAGCCCTAGATAAAGCCTTAAGTATATATGTGGGAGTTTATTTATTCAGGACTCATATTAGTTTGAAGCATGTGCAAGAAATAAACGTAGGTATAGTAAAAAACTAAACTATTACAATTCAGGCTTAATTCAGAACGCTATAGGAGCAAGACAAAATTTAGCGAAACCACTTGGGTTTCGTTGCCAATCTTGTGATACATAGCCAATAACGTATAACACACGCTATTAAGTTAGGCTAAAATTATCATTACTGATTCTAAGGCATTTTAAATTAATGTAGCAGACTGCGCTGCTCCCTGACCTTCTAATTTGACCCAGTTTATTAATTTTCGCAGACTGTTATTACAGAAATTTTATAAAAACTAAGCTTGAACTTTCGATTATGTCGAAAAGAGTTTCCAATTCTGGAGTTACAAAAGGGATCTACAAAGCGAAACCATGTTTAGAAGTCCATTAAACAAAATGTGGAATTGCTGCAAAAAATGCATACAGGCATATTCGTCTTAAAATTATGTGAGGAGTATGGCATTGGAAAGTCCACTGTATATGACACAAGAAAAAAGAAAAAGGAACTTTTTGAATTTTTTGTGGGAGCATCTTAAACAACTTGCATTGAACGAAATGTTTAATAAAGTAAACAAATATTAAGCTTTCTTTTGTAAATTTTGATACCCTTTAGATCATAATTGTTCTTTATTTCATAAATTACAATTTCATAATTTTAATTGTATAATTTCTGCATGCCATCTTACCAGATTTAAATTGATGATCTATTATTAGGGGGACCAAAAAGTAATGTCGTTTCTACGCATGTCGACAACAACGATAGACAACAACATGCTAAGGGCAGAAGTGGACGCAAATCAATGTCAAACAATCGAGGAACTGTCAAACACTCTTAACCAACCTTGGTCGACCAAAAACATTTAAAGCAGAATGGAAAAATAAGCAAAGCAGGTGTTTGAGTCCCCCATAATCTGTCCGAAGAGAACAAGGCCAACCTATCCATCACACGCAATGTATTGCTTCAACGGCACCATACAGAACCATTTTTTGATCGCTTGATTAGTGGAGACAGAAAAATAAGTCCTATATGATAATCCAAAACTCAAAAGGCAGTTTTAATAGGGGTTACAAAGGGTTTACATCCCGAAAAGGCACTTCTGGGTATTTGGTGGAGTATTCGTGGAATTGTTCATTTTGAATTGCTGAAATCTGGAAAAACTGTTAATGTAGACCTTTATTCTGAACAATTGGATCTAGTGAACCAATCTTTAATTGGAAAATATCCGGCGATTGTCAACGGAAAAGGCGTCATTCTGCAACACGACTGTGCAAGACGAACACTGGAAAAACATAATGAATTGGGGTGGGAGGTACTGCCTCACCCACCATATTCGCCCGATATCGCACCCTCGGATTTCCATTTATTCCAATCCCTACAACATTTTCTTAGTAACAAAAAATTTCAAAATTTTGATGATGTCCAAAATGCCATCTTGAGATATTTTACTCAAAAACCAATTGATTTTTATTGATCTGGGATTGAAATCTGCATACTAGATGGCAAAAGGTTGCTGATAACGAGGGTGATTATATTATTGCTTAAAAATAAAAACTTGTTACAAATTTATTTGTTTGAATTTAATGTAAGAAAGCAACATTACTTTACAGCCCCCCACAGGATTTGGAAATATCCCAAATCCGGAATCGGCTAGTGCGGATTTCGAACTTTGTACTGTATTTATTAATACTATATGAAGAGATACTTTTTTAAATTATAAAAAATATTGCTTAAATTTTTAATGCATTTTATTCTCACTTTTTTGAAGTGTTTGTAAGAGTAAATTTTTAATTTTGCAATGTTATTGTCTGTTATTTTACTTCAATATTTATAATTAAATTTTATATACAACAAAATTTATTTTGTAGATTTCAAAATTGTGCATCATATACATATTTAATACTTCTAAATATGTCAAACAATACATAAAAAGTATTATAAATTAAACATGCTTATCTTCTACTACAGAAATGTTTAACAGCAACAAAATTTAATTATAAGATTTTTCTTTTCTTTCATGTTTGCAGCAAATGCAAGAAATAAAAATAATTCTGAAGATGTTTTTTATGTTGAAAGGTATCTAGTGGCATTAACTGCATAAGATACTTTTAAGCAAGTTGTAGCTTATATTTAAAAGAGTCGCTGATATTATCATCCAAGCCTCATATTTTCAAACTACAGTAAATTTTTTTATAAACATGAGGTTTAGAATAATCACTTTCCTAAAAATCAAATAATGACACAAACATCAAGTTCTTAGGAGCCTGAATTAATCAGAATCACAGAAATTCAGTGGTTATGTAGAAATTATCCACAGCAGGACAACTCAGAAAGTTCTGGGGACAAGTAAAACATGCACCAAAAATTTTGGAATCATTTGCCATGATCTTTATTAAATAAATTTAAGATGATTTCTGAAAATAAAAATTCAACTTTTTTTAAAATTAAATACTGGAAAGCACTTTCCTGTTTTCTCACATGTGCTTAAAATTCTAATTTAGAATGCAGTTGTCAAGAACTGAATTTATTGCCTATGAAAAAATATTTCATTTTCAGATTAGATATAAAAGAATTTTTTTACCTCAGTAGTACATAGAGACTTCAAACTGCAAAATGTCCTGCAAAAAAGAAATAAAAATGCATTTCAATAGTCAGTACATAACAGAATATGCTATACAATATTTACATATAAGTTGCTTCAAAGGACTAAACTGGGAAGTAAATTTCTTCTGAAATTTAAGATGAATATGAAGAAGGTATACAATAAATAATTATGAAACTAAATTGAAGACCTTTAACTAAGAATTTAAACATGCTGCTAATTAATGTATACAGAATCATAGCCTTTAGTGCAGTAATAAGGAATAGCAAATGTAATAAACAGTAACTCTTTAATCAACACTAAGAAAACTGCTGAAACTGAACATAAAACACTAAGTTAATAATTTCAGAAACAGTTACAAAAAAATAATTGTTTAAAATCTTTACATATAACAACATAACACTGTTGGGCATAATAACAATTCAGCCTTTTAGGGCATAGTACATGCAGCAGAAAAGGTTTGAGATGGCACACAATTTGCTCTCAGTTCAGTTTTATATCCCTTTGGCCAGTGAAGGCAAACTCATTAGTCAACAGAGTCAATTATCAACAGTTCAGCACTGTATTTATTAATACTTGTATTCTCTTTTCAAGTATCTTCTTCCATTCATTCTCTGCATATGTCCAAACCATCTTATACCTTTCTCAACACTACATCTTTTTTCGCTCCACAACACTCCCTAAAATTAACTCAATATTTCAGTTTTTAAGTCTTAGTTAAACTATATATATATGTCGAATAAAACTTGATATTATACTTAATAACGATACTATTTTATTGATAAAAGAGAATTGCAATATATTGAAAAACTTGAATCGCAATAATGACTAACAAAACACTAATGTAAACAATGGCCTTGCATCTTCTTGAAAAGTTTGCATTTTGTATGTTGTTTTTCATTTTAAGCCTTATTACAAGTTTTCATGAATAAGATGACTTCTCTATTTACTCTTGACAAAAAGTTCATGCTTGAAAATTATTGATCGTATGAATATGTAGACTCGAATAAGAAAAACATCAAACGTTAGTTTTTTAAGCTGATTACATGAGTCGGGAATAATATTATTCCACATGTTTTCCTTCTCCAGATTACTTGTGCTGTGAACTAAGCACACATTTATTTTTCTCCAATGTTTCTACATCAGCACTTAAAATGTTCAAATTTCAAGTTTCATAATTTTTTTTTTTTTTTTTTAAATTCAGCAATTGATTTCAGAGTTGCCAATGTGAATATTAAACAGAGAAATGCAATTCCGTTGCACTAGTATTAAGAGGTTTTTTAACAAAGGCTAATGTTGCTTTGCTGATTCAGAATTCCTGAAACCTGCTGAGAAAAACTTCTGTCATAAAACTGTTGTTTTGAAATGGCAAATGTCAATATTAGATCTATTTTCTTGAGAATGTTTCAACAGGCTTGGAAAGTGAACCAAAGTTTCTGTTTCAAAAATCTTGAGCAGAAAGAGATAATTTGCTTTCAAATGAAATAACTTCTTCCAACATCAGAAAAATTGTGTTTCCTCTTCCCTATAGGAGGTTCGAATCCCGCGAACGGGCTGGCTGCATGGGCGTTTTCGTGGTTTTCCCCATGTGTAACGTGTTAAAAACGAGCCAGTTTCCCTTAGAAAGTCCTCCACGAAGGCATCCCTCCTCTTAGGCAGATAGCCCTCGAGGCTTTGCCATAATCACACACACACACACACACACCTCTTCCCTATAGTTTTTTGATTAAGCTGATTTAGATGAGATGTAACGTCTACCATAAAATAAAATTTTTGGATCTACTGATCATTCATTAGTTCTGGATTATAAACACTCATTTCAAGGAGTAATGCTTTAACTTCTGTTAATAAGGATGCAAAACATTTCAAAACATTTCCTCTTGATAACCAACGCACTTTATTATTCAGCAGAAGATCTGAGTACTCGCTCTCCATTTCAACTAAAAATTCTTTAAACTGGCGATGATTAAAAGCTGTAGTAATAATGAGGTTAACAATAATATAATTATGAATTCCATAACTTTGCAAATTTCTTCTGGAAATGTCGAGCACAAAGCGCTTCTTGATGAATGATACAATGGTAAGTAAGATCTTGTCACTGATTTTTCCTTTCAAAATAATAACAAAAACGTTTCTTACCCCGGTCATTCTTTTCGCCCTGTTTGTTGCAACTGAGACAAGTTTATCGAGATTTGGTGATCTACCAGGAGACCAGAAGAAAAAGCAGAGTTGGCAGCTGTGGTTTATAAATATAAAAAACTATTTTTATTCGAATCCTGGTATATACCAACATTTTCTGTACTTTTTTTGGTTTAATTTATAAAGTAAGTTCAAAAGCAATCTAAATAAATATATATATGCATTTTTCAAGTACTGAAAAGGAAGGGCATGATGGGAATGATCTTCTAGCAATGGTGAAAGGGGTGGAATAGGGCAAAATAGGTTGAGAACCACAATGTTAGATCTTTTAAGTATTAGTTAAAAAAAAAATAAGTTTGAAGCTTTACACGGCATTTAATTATTATTAAATGAAATTTGTTTACATCTAATTAGAATTTCGGAACACTTCCGCAAAGAACCCGGCAAATGTAAACATCGCCAACTTTGGCGATAATAGTTCAAACCTGGTAATCCGGCAGATTCAACCTATTCGCTTGTAAGAAGGTTGCAACCATTCCTCTAACGTTCATTTTGTTGAATTATCACCGTCATTGTTCGCATTTGCCAATTTAAATTATTCTTCACTTATTTATTATTATTTTTTTGTATTTTCACGTTATTATTTATGAACTTTTAACAAATAGATAGAAATATTTTCATATAATAAAGGAAGTTTTCGGTGACAGATGCTAGTTTGTGGAAGAAAATATGGCGGGAGAGGGGTTAATGATAATTGGTAACATGGCTGTTAACGTAGCGTTAAGCACACAGAATCATGAGGTTTCCAACCGATAAAATATTTTGACTTCATCACCTGCCAAAATATGCATTTTAAATAATTAATTAAGTAATGTTTTTATTATTGGTATGGTCATCTAAAATTATGAGAAAAACAATATTTATGGCTTAAAACTTTAACCAGATAATATATTGTTAATGCTTTTCCAACAATAACATTTGAGAAGATTTCAGGTGTGACACACAAAGAGATGATTAAACTGAAATAAAAAGTATTATTGATTCTCTAAAATGACAGAATAGTTTTATGGATACTCAAAGTCATCAAAATTAGCAAACCACTACTTGTGTAATGAATCCAAGTGCAAATGACTCTTCAAAAGTTTTATTAACAATGCTACTGAATAGAATTTCAATACTGAAAATTATTGGCACTGTCAAATATACTATGAAAGACAGGCAGTTGTTTCAACATAAAATGCTTTAAACTGTTTACAAGTAAATTGATAAAAATAACATTGAAAAACTGTTTATGTAAAATGGATGTATTAAAAGTCATGCATTCATTAATTTATTACAGGCACATGGCTCTTATTGAACTAAGACTGTCACTGAATGATTGTTTGGAATCGACATTTCTTGCTGTCTGAAACCTACTTCACCTATGATGTAAATATGCAGTTGTGGTTCTCACTGACATAAAGTTTAGCCACTCCTGATCGATTATATATGTCTACTGTATTTATACCTATTATACTAATTATCAGATACAATTTTGAGAATATCAACAAGCAAAACACTTAAAAATTTAAAAAAGACACTTGTAGTAGAAATATTAATATTCTATATGAATTATGGAAAGTACATGTAATGAATAATACCATGACCAAACACTTAAAAAAAAGAATAGATTAAGTATTTCCTACCTCGATACTTGAGAAAGCAATCCTGTTACACAACACATAGTTAACTTTTGATTACATGATATTACATATTACATATTTAGTCCTACGAGTGGTTAAGAAGGCTGAATAGTGGTAGTTCAATCTCGGCTCAAATCCTGAAAAACGAGCTGGTTGTGCAGGTTATTTTTTTCGTATGTGTTTTGTGAATTTTGTGACATTTTCGTGGTTTTCCATGAGCCTATTTACCCTAGAAAATATTCACAAAAGCATGCCTTTTTCAGCTAGCTCTCACATGCTTTGTATATTGAATTAAGTACACACAAACCCTTCTTAATTTTAAAATGATAAAGTTATTAAGTTCACATTACATGCAACGAAGCTTTTTACAAGCCAGGATACTTTCTTTAACAATTACAGTGCTAATTAGTGCTGTACTTCTCAGTTATATGTGAAATAACATCTCAGTGTCACTGCTTGTGACACATTTGTTTCACTTAAGTCTTCTTATGCAGTCATAAGCATGAAATAAACAAAACAATAACATTTGAGAAGATTTCAGGTGTGACACACAAAGAGATGATTAAACTGAAATAAAAAGTATTATTGATTCTCTAAAATGACAGAATAGTTTTATGGATACTCAAAAACTCATGGTTATGCATGAAAAACCTAATCCATACATCCTTGGTGACTGATATTAACATAGTTTTTATGCTGCATTTGTGAACTACGCGGTTAAATTGAGTGAAATTGTGACTAAATTTCAGAAGACTTATAAAATTATGGTGTGTGTGTGAAAATTTAAATGTGAAATTAAAATCAAGGATACATTGGACAGAACAATCAAAAAAGAAATGTTGTCCATAAATATATTAATAATAATTAATGATAAAATGGACATTTAAAATATTCATATAATAAATATATACAATTAGTGTAATTAAAATAAATATATGCATTTAAAAATGATCTAACTTGGACCATATTTGCAATTTTTGTAATGTTATTAAATATGGACTTTAAATAAAATTTTTAGCAGCATACATCATTTGGGTTTGTTTAAATTATGGAAAAGCATGGGAGAGATATCTGCCTAAAAGAAAAGATGCCTTCAAGGAGGTCTTTCTGAAGGACACTGGTTTGAATCCACGTTACATATTGGGAATACCATGAAAACAATCATACAACTTGCCCATTAGCTTGGCTAACTAAACTACCAGAGTTCAGTCACTTTACTGTTTAGCTGCTGATGAGCTGTATATCAGTTGCAAAGCAGTGCACAAAAAATGATATATTCCTTGGTTCTCGTTATGAGTTACACAGGGTTCATAGCCACATTTTAGTTAAAAAAATAAGCACTTTTCAAGCACATTTTAAGAAAAAAAATAAGCACCTGTCTAATGACATTATACACAACTGCATAACCTTAATTAGACTTGTAATTTAAAATATGAGAAATGCAGTATTTATTAAGAGAGAATAAGCATTACCTCAACCATGGAAAATAATTACTTTTTTTTTTCCCTTTAAATTTTAAATAACAGTTCAATTTACAGAACTAGTTTACAATGAGAGAAAAAAAAAAAAAAAAAACTATGCAGAACTAAACTATATTACAAGATTTAATGATGAAATTTCAGTTCAAAATAGAGAAAAAAATAAATAATAATAAGGCATATTTATTGTATTTGCTTGGAACCTAATAATAAATACAATTTATTTTTCCACTCATATTAATATTTAAATAATTTAAATCTAAATTCTGAATATTTTCTAAATTTTCATTGTATATCAGTTTTCTCTTAACAGATATTGCAAGCAAAGTAATTTAAGTAAAAAAGAGGAACATTTCTGAAATCAGAAGACAGAAATTTGCTTCATGCAGTCATCCTTTAACAGTAAAAGCTTAACTAAGCCGCATACTTGGAAACTGGCGAATATTCGGACAGTTGAGCGTAACTTGAAAAAGAGGAGCGGAGGGGGGGGGGTTGACTGTAGCCACTTTTTAGATTTTTCCGCTAAATAAATGCTTTTGACATTTTGATATGTGAATCATATAAAAATAAACCAATGGAACTGAAAAATATTCTGCTTAGCAAGCACAGTAAAACTCTTTTAAGTGTTCATAAACAAATCTCAAACAGAACATCAAAATTAATTAATTAATTATCTCTGCGAAATATCGCAAACGTTATTGCACAATACGTGTGCCATAATTCTTCCCTACGTGATATTACGCAATCGGAATCAACAGCTGCTGAAATTGGGAGAATAAAGAACTAAATATGAGTAACTGGGGTGTTTTTCATTCTAATTTTCAACAGACGGCGTTAAATTTCCGCAATAGAATCATTCTTCGCTTGGGTTGGTAGACCACAGAACTTTTAATCCTATTCAATCCAGATTGGAAAGTGACAAAAAAAAAAAAAAAAAAAAAGTCCGTTGCTTGTTTTGCAGCGAACTTGTAACAGTTTCAATATTTGAGATTTTGGGGAGAAAGGGGAGAACCTCCCAATCTTCGCACTATATAATGTATTGGCCAAAAAAAACTAAATTATTTTGACTATTCGATTACTTTCCCTTTATTTAAGCCATTCCGAGTATTATTCCTAAAACGCTGTGTTAAAATACAACCATTTTTGGAAGTTTACTATACTTCAGCAGTTACTGCAACTGTTATTATAAACATTCATACATATACTCATAATATAAGCATAATGATCATAATAAACACAAATATGAACTGACCAAGCGGAACGAGAATGCAAATTATTAAGATCTGGATAGAAATTTAAACGTGTATAGTATTTGGGTGAGAGGAAAAGAATGCCGAATGTACCGAAATTTTCTACTGCTTTCGCAATTCTTTGACCAATATAACGACGGGCACCTGTCTGTACTCTTTGTGCGCACCAAAGGTTATGTTAATGCAGAGAAAGGGGGAAAAGCTATTTCCGGGAGTATGATTCACCACCTGACATTCAATATTAAGAAAAGTTGTTTATTTAGTTTCGGCTTTGGTAGGGGGAAAATAGCGCGTTCATTAAAAAAAAAGCACTAAAAGCAAAAAATAAGCACTAAAAACAAAAAAATAAGGGCTTTAAAGAAAAAGTAAGCACCTATAAGGGCCTTTATATTTTATTTTCAAATATAAGGACTTATAAGCACTTATAAGGACCGCTATGAACCCTGGTTACATGCAAAAAAGCAAGTCTTAATAAAAATCGATATGCCAAATGTAAAGTTAATATGTTGGTTTTTTCGTGCAATACATGAACATATACATAAAATTTAAAAAAATAAGTCAGAGCAGAATATAATTTATTACTAAAAAAACTTTTATGTAATCAGTTGCAATTAAGTTTCTATTTAAATGAGAATATCTATTCATTTCATTTATGCGATCATAATGGATTTTCAATCGTAGTTTTGGAAGTACTTTAAAATTATGCAATGAAGATATTAATCGTAAATTCACAATTTCTTTAGAAACTGCACTGTTAAAAACATAAATATTTTGGAATTTTATAATACTGAGAGATATTCAAAGACAGATCTCAATTTTCCCAAGAAATTGCCAAGAAAAAGGGTCATTATTACAAAGCTCAATATTACATGATTTTTCTACTTCCATTAAGCTTTACATATTGTTTTCTGTGCTAACTTGAATTAAATACAAATTTATTTTCGTGCATCGTGTTTAACCAGTTAATTTTGAATTTTCACTTTCATATGCTTAATATATTGTTTTCTCTGTTAACGTGAATTTATGTTACTTATTCTTTAATTACTTTGATTATATTCTTTAAATATCATGTTTACGCGGCTTACTTCCATGTGTTTTAATATCTCATAACCAACGCCCATCAACCATAGGTGAACTTGGCGAGTAAAACAGCAACGGCGCCAACGGGTTCTCTGTGGATGAAAATTCAGAATTTCTAAATCAATCAAACACATTCATGAAAACAAGCAATTTCAAAAGTCATTATAATAACAGTAGTCAAGAAAGCATAAAGTTACCAGCAAGAAATCTCTAACAAAGTTAAAGATCATCCATATAATCCAATTGCTATATTAATCAAAATAAATAAGAAATTCAGTACAAAGTCTGAAATCCAGACGTCCATTATCCGAAATGATCTAAAATCCGGACCTCAAAACCACCAACAACATTTTTCTCCTAAGTTTTACGCATGCACATTTGATTCCACCCCCCTCCGAGCATAATAAAACATCTGGAGTGTGCCAATTCTTAATTTCACTTTGACACTAAATGAAATACATTGTTATTGAAGAAACAAAACTTTTAGCATAAATATGTACGATCAGGATCAGTAACTTGGTTTCATTCCTGCGTATCCGCTTTATGGTACACATCTCAAACTGAAACATTCCACATAGATACATCATTGATCTGACGCCAACCTTGGGAATCATTATTTATTATACTTTCCTTTCATCACCGCATGTTTATCAAAACATGACAACTTCAGTAATGACTCATGTAGCGATGCCTAAACAATTTTTGGTACTTTTCCGTTTTGCCGGCGCAAGCGATAAAGTCGCCAATAATGGTACAATCGATGCCAAAAGGAATATTCTCGCTGGTAACCTTTTACGCCTCATTTTCAAAACAAGTCGCAGCTTTTTCTTATCAGATTGATTGGTTTTTTCAATACTGGCATATAATTACATAGAATTTTTATCAGATAGTTCAGTTTTATGTCTAAGGCCATTTTCAGTAGTTAAGTCAATTAGGATGCAATCACAGCTCTTACCCGAAGCCGAAAATATAGAAAAGGTAAAGTCAAGGGTTAA